GATTAAAAAAAATCGACCCGCTTCGCGGCCACGTTGCTGACGTGACTGAGAAGTGGGTCGATCCCCGTAAATAAAAAGGGAGTCAGTCGGTTTTTAAAATAAAAAGTAGGAATGAGTTTAAATCAAAAATTTTATTCTTATGAAAACTATTGTGTCACTGTTTGAAAATATGCGAATATCTCAATTTTTCTGGCCCAGAAATACCTTATTCATATTTGTACTTGTACTTAAATATTATTTAAAAAATTCAACTTTAAACAAATGTCACTATATCCTCCTTTTATATGGTACTGACCTTTAACAAGTCAACAAAGTATTGGGACGCAAAGATGCAAAGTCTTTTTTTAGTATTTCCCCAAAAATTTGCTTACCTGTACCTTTTACAGAGGAGCGAACTTTCCATAATCGAACCCATCGTCCCCTGATTAATATCGGTAGGGGGGGTGGGTGGGGGGGGCGTAACCAAAAAGGTCGAACTCTAAAGAAAGGCGTCTCTTTTATCTTTTCAGGGAGGTGAAACAAAAACACGAAGGCGTCTCTTTGATCGATCGATTGCTTCTCATGCAAGAATTATCACCGTCCGTTGCATCCTCTGGCGACTGGAGGTCTCAGATCTCAAGCGGGTCCAGGCAACGGATCGTCAACAAGATGTAAGCGTTGAGTTCCTCTCTCTGATTTCTTTTTGACCCAGGGTTTTTGAGGAATAAAGGAAGGTGGTAGGGGATTTATGGTTCTCGATGTTTTATACGGGGTTGATTTGAGGATCAGGAGAATAAGCTGGATAGTAATGAGGAACTTTTGAAGTAACTATTATGTGATTTTTTTTCTCTAGTTTATTGATTTAAAAAAGCTCCTTTCTTGGGTTTGTATTGTTGAATTAGAAGTAGATTGGGGATTGAGGTTTATCTGATGGTTTTGGTGGTTTATTTGATGGATTGTTATGCGATTCTGTTTTTTTTAGTGTCGGATGAAGTAGTAGTGTCTGATTTTTAGTGACATTGAATTACCGATGATGTTAAGGTTAGAGTTTGTTTAGATCAATAGTTTTTGTTAGAGAATAGAGGTTGCCAATGTGTTAATAAACTACAGTTCAAGTTCGTTGCGTTCATTTTGCTGAGCACTGTTATGCATTGATAGTGGTTAATAGATTAGTTTTTGCTATATTCATGTAGCAATCTTTACAGGTAAGAGTTATTTGGTGATGTCTTAGCTTCTTGTATTGGTCTATCTATTTTTTTGCAGAATGGATACTTCAAAGAAGTATTTGCCGATAGCTAATACTGAGGACTCAGAAGAACTAAGGAACATTGCTATCCGATTCGAGGAGAAAATATATACCGATGCTATTGATCAGGTACATCCTTTTGCAAGCAATTTATGATTTTGTTGCCATTTTTAGTTGATGATCAGTTGGGTATTATAGCTAGGACAATTTCTGCAGCACACTTTTAATCTCAGAAGAAATATCATTTCCCTTGTTCAGATATGCAGAATTGTTCGTGTTTCAATAGCACCGTTTTCATTTCATGTACTTTGACTGTGATCTTATGAGAACTGACTATAGAAATATCTGAACTTTTATGTGCATGAAGTGTAAGTTATGGTATTAAGGTAGTTTGGATATACTAACTATTACTAGTCGGTGGCACACAACAAGTGCTGTTGTATCCCTGTGTGGGGTCCTTTTGCAGCGTGCAAGCCAAGAGTTATTGATATATTTTCAACCAAAGTAATGGTGGCATCATGCATGTGTATGGAATAGGCACAACTTCATAAACATTAATAGTTAGCAACTACAAAAACAGTTAGCAACTACAAGTGAAAAGGAAAAAATTGTTCTTTTTTTCCATGGTGATATAAGCGTTTAAGGCCCTCATATTAAACAATACTTATTTATTTAATAATATAAATTGATTATGTTGACTTAAATATACAGAGTACTAGTATATAATCATTGATAGTGCTAATCTAATGGCGCAGCAGGTGTGGTCTTTCAGGTTTCTGAGAAAGAACGAAAATCTATAGTAATAGAACTTTTGGTTAATGTAAAGTATTGAACATACTCTGTATATCTGTGATCTATGAGATAGAAATAAAAACCTGAAGCTAAAGACAACCAACTAGATATGTCATACACCTAACTCCTAGATGATATAGAGAGAGTTGCTAGTCTTTCAGGCAGTAGTATACATTAGGAAAAAGAAACTAATTGTGTATCATATAACAAAACTACACTCATTATAATAATTAAGTTGCACTAGTTCTACTTAGGATTATGGATCACATTTCTGTATGAACCCTTATTGGTTGTATGGAATTGGAAATTTTGGGCTTGTTCAGCCCCAGTTATATGATCTACATTTTGAGCCGAGCAACTCCAGTTTCACATGAAATTCTGATTCACAATATTTTAGTGCAACGAAATTGGTGAATTGGGGTTTATTCTCATAGTGGTTAAACGCCCGAATCCTAGAGTTGGAAGGGGATTTAGTTTCACATTGGATGTTGGACAATGTAAGTAACATTATGTGAAGTTCAAAGATTTTAAAATGTATTAAACCAAACACTAGGTGCTTGAGTTCAATAACAAATTGAAGCCAAACAACGTGAGTAGTGCTCACAACTGCATATGATACTAAGAGGGTGATTGAGACAACTTTTTTTTTTGTCAAAGTGGCTTATAAGCTAGCTTATTCTTATCTAATTGTTTGGCAGCATTGCAAATAAGCTAGATTTTAAGTCCCGTTTGAAAAAGTTGGAATGCCCTAACTTATGAAAAACTAGTTTATAAGCTCATATAAATAAGCTAGGGTTGACCAAGAAAACGACTATTCTACCCATGTGTATTTTTTTGTCATGAGAGCCAAAAGGCATCAAAAGTTAACCTAACTTAAAAAGCNTCTTTGTTTTTTTTTGCTTGCATACCCATATGGTTTAGGCTAGTTTATAAGTGCCCTGAACGCTCATTCCTTATGGGTAACCTTGTTTGCCCGGGCGGGTAAGAGCGACGGAGGAGGACCAGACGCGTCCACAGACAGCACTTTGGGGCAATGAAGCCTAAACGATTGTTAGCAGTCCAGCCGGCGCCTAGGTTGGGACAGCAACGAGATGCAATGGCCCACAGGTAACCCCCCGCCGGAACCCCGCCCACTTCATCGAAACAACCTAGTTTTAATACTCCATACAGTAAATGAGGAGGCCTACGGGGGTTGGAGCCGGCCGACAGAAACGACATTCTAACCCGCCATCGGTATTTTTGTCATGAGAGCCCAAAAGCATCAAAGTTAACGCTCCCAACTTACAAAGCTTTCTCAAAGTAACGTCCCTCCCCTCGCCTGCCCCCGCGACCTCTTTCGCCCCGCCCGCGCGCGCCCCGCCCCATCGAGGCCTACCCCCCGCCCCCCGCCCCCCCCCGGCGCCAAAAAAAAAACCACCCTCGTCTAAATTTGATGAATTATAAGCTTCGCATGGAATGGCAGTTCTCTGCAACTTAACTGTGTCTAAATGGAAGTTCCAATGGTTCCCAGTTCCCCGGACAGATCTCTGTCAGTGCTGGGATTCATTCATATCATTTTGAGTTATCTTCTTATGTTTAGTATATATAGCTGTTGACTTGCTGCTAGAGAAGTGTCCAGTTGGTACAATTCATTCTGCAGCGCCTTTTGTCTTCTTTAGTCTTGTGTAGCTTTCTACTTAATACAGCTGAGTATTGACTACCAAATGTGTTTAAATTTTATAATTAATTGATGGTGACTAATATGTTCAGTTATTGCACAAAAAACCTGCTTTCACTTTGTCTTGCTAGTCATTATTTGAAACTAAGCTTCCAGATGAAATAATTATTCTTCTCAAACTGATTTCAGACGGATTATCTGCGAAAAATTTCTATGAAAATGCTGTCTATGGAGACAAAGGCTCAGCAATCAGCTCCAATTAATCCCTCAATACCAAATGCTGGTGCTGGGAATCAGAGTCTTGCAGATCCAGGTATTCTTTTATCAATGCATATGTATTTTGGATAGTAGCTGAAGGCTTATCCGAGTTCAAATTGGCGTAACTTCATTTGAATTTCATTTTTCTTGCACTATTATTTCTCATGATCAGGTATATAGTTACTAATCAACAAGCTTTGTATTTGCAAGTATGTGTATGCATATGGCATCTCTTACATCTCTCTACACATAGCACACAGCATTCTTCTGTGTCTCAGACTCTTGTATTTAAGTGATTTTAATCTTTTAATCCATTCAATGAAAGCTTTCTGCACACAAGTCCCTAAGACCTAAATCTGTCATAAACTATTCTAGATTAGCTGGGTTATAGTAAAATTTCCCGAGTTGATTTGATTTTTATAATGGTCTTTCCTGAGCAGTTTTTAGTACAATAGTCTTGAAGTGTGATGTCAACATCATTACAATAAAATGAGGCCAAGGATTAATAAATTTTTTTGCCTAACAATTTTACTGTTTTAATAAAAACTTGAAAGAGAGATCAGTGCTTTTTTCTACAAGGTCATAAACTTCTGTTTTTTTGAGCGTGTTTCTGGCTGACTTGTTACCTAGGCACTTCTATCATGAAGCCGTACTTGTACCTGACATGTTCCTGTACTCAAATTTCATGGACAATCCTTGAATATATGGGTGCGTTTATTATCACATGCTCAATTATGTGATATATATTTTAATTTAAAACACTTGTCAAATACTTCTTGGAGGTATAGCTAACACTTCACATTCATTTCTTGAAACTAGTTAGCTATGGGTTAGCCCCCAAGTTCAAAACTATAAAATTAAATGGAGTTGTTTGGGTGTCTAGTTCAAAAATGAGTAGTTTCCGATTTATAATATAATCATCCATATAATAAAAGAAACTTAAAAATGTGATAAAATTTTAATTCTAATGATACATGAAGTGAAAAACAATAACGATCTCATGTAAATTATTAATTTCAACACAGACACACACACATATACAAGTATGTATAGGTATATGTATGTATGTATGTTTTTGTGTGTGTGTGTAGAGAAAGAGGGAGAAAAGCTCCTATAAACTTAAGTGGATAGGATCCCTTTGTCCACCAACTTTTTCATCCACTAATTTTGTACTGAGATTTGTGCTAGCATGTGATGCAAATCAAGGCACAAATCTCAAAGATAGCCTTGATGTGAAGCACGAATCTCAAAGCATAATGAAGGAATAAAAAAGTTGGTGAACAAGTGCTCATATCCACCTAAGTTTATAGGAGCTTTCCTATATATGTGTGTGTGTCTGTATGTAGCAGTGTACCTGTACCCTACATTTTACAATTTTACCGTGTCATGTACCCGTGCCTGTTTCCCTGAAACCTAAGTGGTTGATGATGTTTCATTTCACTTCTTTTTTACCACTGTGTTAGTCTCATTGTCACCTTTCTCCAACAGGTTCACTTGGCATACAGTTGCAGATCAAGAACCCTGGGCAACCATTACCCGTCTCTAATCTATCAGTTTTACCCCAGAACCACCAAAACAACAGTTCTGGTTCTTTGGAAGGTTCTTCTGGCGTAGCTCTTGCATTGGCGTCCATCTCGGAACTCAGTCAGTCCAACAAATCTGGTGTTACCCAAGCATCAATCTTGCACAAGATGACTGGCACATCACAAAGCTCTGTAAATTATGCTATAGGAAAAGCAAAACACACTGAGATTTATGCTGAGGAACAGAAACAGATGCAAGGAAGCCAGAAACAGCAACAACAATCGCAGAATCCACTTATTTCCCAGCATCAGATCCACCAGCAGTTTCTGAACGGAAAGAATCATTCTTCACTCTTGCGGCAGCAACAACAGCAGCCAGAAGGACTGACAAAGCAATCTCTCTTACCACCAAATCTGCTGGAGTCTTCTCAAATGCAAATACCATTTAATCTTCAATCAAACCAGTCTAAAAATCAGCAGGCCCAAGGAACAAGTGCGCAGTTGGATCTACAACCTGGGTGTCAACAGAATCACCTTAATCAAATCCAACAGTCAGTTGCCAGACAATGGCACTCTCATCCTTCACATCAACAGGAACCTTCTTTCCAGCAACAGTCAAAATCCATCTCTCAGAACTCAACATTATCACAGCAGCAACGAATTATGGATCAGCAAAGAAATATGTCAAATAATGTTGCAGACATTCAGCAGAAGCAACATAGATTGCCTGTCCAGCAAAATTGTCTTTCAAGCATGCAACAGTCGAAGCAGATGATACAGCAAAGCATGGTTTTAGAACCGCAGCAGCAACATCAGTTAGGTTCTCAAACTAACATGTCAGGTCTGCAGCAGCCTGCAGCAGCCGCATCAGGTACTTGGACCGAGTCCCAGAATCTCAAATATGCAGCCACATCAGCGGGCAATGCTTATGCAAAAGAGCGCAGAGCAGCAGCAGCAGCAGCAGCAGCAGCAGAAACAGCAAACACCACATTCGTCTTCGACATTATTGCAGTCACAAGTTCAACAATCTCAGCATCAATCATCGCACCAGCAACTCATGTCCCGGTTTCAACCTCAGCCTTCACAATTGCAACAACAATCAAGTTCCTTACAACGGGAGACACAACAAAGACTTCAAGGTTCAGGTCGTCTAATTCGTGTTCAAAATGCAACGGAGCAGAAGTCACTCGTTCAGACACATAAAGGGCTTGCAGACGTTTCATCTAACAGTAAGTCATTAGACTCAATACATGGGAAAATTTCACGAACTGCATTTTCTTCTGTTTTGGCTATGCAAAAAGATATATGCTGGGGATACCCTCATCGGGCTCATTTAAGTTTTACATCCCTCTCTGAGGTTTGACCTTCCATTATTATATGTTTTAGCATTTTGCTCTATGTCGAGTTAATCTTCATACTTTTTTCTGACTTGAGAAATTAAAATGACATTCTATTTAACTTCATTAATAGGCTCCTGGAAGTTACTATATGTTCAAACTCACTAAATTGTTAAAAGCTGAACTATTCAAGTTTGGTGTTTCTATGCATATTATAAGCTGCTTCTTCGTTGCACACGGCGACAATTTCATTATGCTGTATGTTTATTTCCATTGTTTTGTTCCATGAAAGCATTTTATTTGCTAAAATTTGTGGCATGTTTTATACTTTACCTCTTTATGCCTAAGTATAGAGATGTTCCTTGAGATCTTTGGGAATTCAAGAGCAGAATTTTTTGGGACAGGAAATTGCAAATGAATAATGAGACGGAAAATGCAGACAAATGATCTGGCAGTTGTCCATTTAACACATGGCTTGAACATACTGGTTCCCCCCTGATATAAAAAATTTAAATTGCTATCTGATCCAATCACTTAGTGTATGGTTGTTTTTAATCGTTTGTAACTATCAAAGTCTGTGAGGAAAGCAGGCCTCTATTGACTTATTGGCTGGCAGAAATAATCTATTTTGTAAGTAGGATGATGTAACTGCTTGATACAAAGTTGAAAAATGGATATATCGATGAGAAAGAAAGAAAATGTATGGTTAATTTTTCTCAACTTGAATATATTTTCTTTTACAGCATCAGTGGATTCAACAACTCAACCAGGAAATGCTGGTGCTGTTGACTGGCAAGAGGAGTGCTATCAGAAGGCAAGTGATCACAAAACTATGTATGTCCTTATATTACTTTTTATGTTGATTTTTGTTCATGCACTTGTCATATATACTCGATGGGTTCTTCGACAATTGTTACTTCGTGGAGGTAAGGTCAAAATACTTAGGCAGTCCTAAGATGAAAGACCTTGCCAACGAGGAGTGCAAAGGGCTAGGAAAATGCACATGAAGACATAAAATATATATGGGTTGGAGGAAATTAAAATAGAGAAGAGGTGATCGGGAGTTGCATTAAATTTTAAAATTTTAAGTTAGCCCTAGCGTGGCAGAACTAGAAAATATGAGGGGAGGAAAAAAGAAAATATATCTGGAGTGGTGTCTTCAACCTTGTCCACTGGTGTAAACTGAAAGTAGGATCAAGACAGAGAGGGTAAGGGATAACTGAAGATCTCAGTCTTTCAAACAATCTTATCTTCCATACGAGTGCATAACCTGCCTTTTTTATTAATATTAGATGAACACTAATAGATAAAATGGAATTCTAATAGAAAAACTTACATTGAATTAGTCTAGCCTCCTGGATAACATCAAATAACTCAAAAGCAATTCATTGACTGGCAATTAATAAATTGACTTACAACCAATCTATCTGCTAACTTGTCAAGCATTGAACTCCCCTTCATTTAGAGCAGATTTTGACTCTTGAGCATATATTTTTCAGTCCAAGTAATTTGAATTTTTGGTGTTGCTTATGAAAAGCGTATCACCATTTTTAAAGGAAACTAAATGTTTCTTTTACTAAGTTGGTCTTTTGGTAGTTGATTAAGAAAGGACTTTTTAGATAAGTGGCAATTTGCAAAATTCTAGATTTTCTATTTTCTCTCCATAAATACAAATCTTATCAGAACACCCCACACCTACATGCCAATATGGTGTTCTGAACCATACAAAGCCTCTCAAAACTATTCCTTACCCTCCTCTGAATGGCTCCAAAACCCTGCTTGTGTTCATGATGTTCTAATAAAATTTGCACTCTTTCTCAACCACATAGGCTAAACTCACCTATGTGAACTCCCCTATTTTTCCATGGGGAAATCTAATTTATAACAGATTCCTTTCTTTTCTAGACTTCTATTTTCAATCTTATCCAAAATTTCACATATGCAATTATATTCGAGCTTATAAAGTTTTGGATATTAGTCTTTCTTAATATGTATTTCTAATTTTAAAGCATGAAACACCTTCAACTATGTAAAGGTTATTTTGCTAATTCGTGGAGAAGCATCCTTCTTTCAAATAACTTGATTACTTACCTTATAATTAACACAACTTCGAGAATATCCTTTATAACTCTAATCATTTTATTTTTTATTCAAATCCAAACAGTGTGTTCTGTGTGATTGGACCAAAGTTACTCGTGATATGTAAAACTTCATATTACTACTGAGTCCAACCAGTTTATTTTGCTAAGGCTTCTATTGAGTATTGACACTATTATTTCTATAACGGCTGAAACTACTTGGTGTGAACTAAGAATATTTTTTTACTAGAGTATTGCCTGGGAAAAGTTTACTCTTCTATGTAACAAGCTGAGGAGTATATAATAGTTTGTAGGACAAATTTTCAAAACCAACCCATTTAGAAACTTAATTGCAAAAATCGACCCATTTTGAATTTAATTGTCAAAATCGATCCAGTTTCAGCCAGTTGGCTGAAACTAGGTCGATTTTGGCGAAATAAGTTATGAAACTTCACGGGACTTCAAGTCCCATGAAGTTTAAGCACGTTGTAAAACTTCACGGGCTCGTAACTTTTTTTTATCAAAATCGACCCAGTTTTTAAGTTACAAATAGGTCGTTTTTTGGAATTAAGTTTTTAAATAGGTTGGTTTTGAAAATTTGTCCATAGTTTGTATATTAGATAAGTTATAGAATGTTATTTAGTCCCACATTGGAAAACTGTATAACTGTATTTTATTTGCCTCTCTATAGATGAAATTGGGCAATCATTCTCTGGGACAGGGTTTAGGTTTCCGACATAACATAAGTTTTTATTGATGGCAGGTGAAATCTATGAGGGAGCAGTACTACACAGAACTCCTTGAGTTGTATAAAAGGATTGTTCTTAAGTTTCAGCAGGTTCTTATTCCATGCAGATTTTCAGGGCTTTAGCTGATGAGGTCAAATGACTAGAATTTTCTTTTAAATTTTGGTTGTTCATTTGTTGCCTGCAGCATGAAGCACTTATACCACAAGGCAAGCAGACGGAACAGCATGAAAAGCTCAAGAACTTCAAGATTATGTTAGAGCATAGGCTAGCACTTATGCGGGTTTCTAAACATGACATTTCAGTTGGTCTTAAAGAGAAACTTCCTATATATGAGAGGCAAATAGTAAATTTAATCACTTCATGCAAAAACCATTCTTCACAAGTACAGGGACAACGACAATTTCAACATTCGAATGTTGGGAATGCTCACTTGATACCAGAGCAACAACAATCTCAGTCTTCTCAGATGCCTCAAGGTTCTGGAGCTTTATTGCAAATGTCTACTACACCTAATGTGCAACATGTATCCAGGCCTTTATCCACAGAACACCAGAATATATTAAATATTTTGAGGCCTGTTTCTAATAGTATTGCAGCCCAAGGGAGATCTTTTAATTCAAAAAATGCAATTGGCTCTGAACTGATGCAGCAGCAACAGAGACATTCTTTATTACAAAAGCGACAGCCTTTGCAGCAAGATTTGCACCAGCAACAACAGAAGCAGGCACAGTTGCCTATCCCCCGATTCCAGCAGCTACATTCAATGAATGAACTCAGGCAACTGAAGGTGAAACAAGGGTCAGACATCAAATCAAGACTCAATGAGTACTCAGCTGGCCAGCACCACAGTTACTACTATAATCAGCTGAAGCCAAGAGCTTCTTATTCAATTTCATCTCCTCCAATTCTTCCACCTTTGTTGCCTCAAATTTCTAACCATTCTTCACCTCATATTGACCAGAATGGTCAATTGTCATCCATTCCAAAAGTTAAAGGTTCTCCACTATCTGCAAACTCACCTTTAAGTGTTACTCCTTCCACTCCCTTTGCCCCCTTGCCCACACCAGTTGATTCTGAGAAACAACAATCTGCTATTTCATCAGCTGCTCATCAGCAAACACCTGCTTCACCACTTCAGCCACATTCACTTATTATTAGCACTCCTGGAATTTCAGCATCACCTTTGCTAGCAGAATGCACCAGTCAAGATGAGAACCAGCCTGATGTACCAACATCAAGAACAAATGCGACAAAACAGCCTGTAGATCGCTTAATTAAAGTGGTTAGTCACTCTTTTTTATTTTACTTCAATTTTTAATTTCTATTGACAGTGGCAGATGCACATGGTAGGTTTTTTTTTGGTGGGGGGGGTTTTTTGGAGGCTTGAGTTTATGAAACTTACATTCTAAGCCAGTGTTATCAATGCATGATGCCCAATGTCGGGTGCAAAGTCCATTTACATGCGCAAGGCACCATGCGATGCACTCACCTGAGTGAAGTGAGCCGCACACCGCACGCATAATTTTTCAAGATAGATAATCAAGCATGAAAGAGCATGTTTATAAATGTTCACATAAAGATGTGTCAAGATAAATAATATCTACTTCCAAATCACAGAATAAGATCTTAATTCACAATGCTAGCACATCCAACATAGTAGTAAACTTCATAATTTTTCCAACAAAAAAAAAAGATTTAAGTCAAGACTAATATCGAAGCAAAATCAAACAGCAAATAAAAACAAATTAGAGTCCTCAAACAGCCACTAAAGTAGCCTAATGGGTTTAAGTTTCTTTTTGGTATGTGGTTATGGGGTATAAAGATCTGATTATAAAATATTAAAGAAAAAAATTTTCTCTATCCTTGCATGTGCCTTGTGCAAAGCACCCTCGCACAGGGCCCTTGCACAGTGCAAAAAGGCGCTACCGCATCAGATGTGAGACGCTTTGCCACCACCCCTCATCACAGGGCGCATGAGGCGGAATGATGTGCTTCTTTGATAACATTGTTCTAAACCCTTTCAAACACACATTTGCCTTCCGTAATTTAAAGGCATTTGCACCATATTTGAATTTTAACCTATCTAAGTTGGGAATTTAATCTATTTGTCAAGAATTTTGTTTTATAACATCATTTTTATTTTTTTGTACAAATCCCCCAAAAAAAAAATAAAAATAAAAATAAAAATAAATAAAAGACCCAAAACCCCCAAGCCAGAAAAAAGGGGAGAAAAAGGTTTTATGGATCCACCACTGCTTATGGATCTTATCAGGAGCCTGAAGTCATTGCGGTGAGTTTTCTGATGGATGCAATTTCAGTTAGCAGCATCATTTGTGGATGCCCTCATGCATTTTCTTTCTAAGTGCTACCGTATGAAGAGTATACATGATTGACGATATTGCAACATGTTCGTAGCCATTCTTGTTACCTCTGTGCTGGAAGCTCGGCTTTCGCAAATGTTAGGGTTCTCTTCCCACTTTTTCATGTAATTGTCTTGGACTTTTTTGGGGTTTTGTTAATTTGTCTTTCATTTGGCCGACAATCTGATCCCCAGTCTTCTGTATAATTACATTAGGATATTTACCTGTTGTTTTAAATAAGAAGAAAGTTTGGAGCAACACTTACTTTGAGTGGCTGTTAATTGTTCTTGTATCAACGTGAACATAATTGTGCATGGAACTAACTCCTATCTTTGTGAACATTTTTCAGGTACAATCACTAACACCAGAGGCTCTGAACTCATCCGTTAATGATATTGAATATGTTGTTAGTATGATTGATCGGATAGCTGGTTCAGCACCTGGCAATGGTTCGAGAGCTGCTGCTGGTGAAAATTTGGTTGGAATGGCAAAGTGTCATCTTCTAGCAAGAAACTTTATGTCTCAAGATGGTAGTGCTACTAGAAAGAAATTGAAGCGCCACACTATTGCATTGCCTTTATATGATGTTTTTTCACCTGAAAGCAATGATGATAGCTTTAAGCAATTGCATGGTTTTGAATCATCACAGCTAGAGTCTACTGCAACATCCTGTGTTAAGAGGCACAAACATGAGGTATAGCTTTGTCTTACTCTTTTAGAGACTTTATAAGATGCTCTAGATAAATAAAGTCTCTATTATAACTTACTTTACCCTTCAAAATTATCCTGAGATATCCAGTTAAGTGCATGTTCTTTCAGTATGTTTACCATCATATCCCAAGTCTACTGTTATTTCCCCATCAAATCAACTGCCATTCTTGATGTTTTTGCACGACTCTTGTGATAGCATGGCATTGTTAAACAATAAAATATTATTGATTTTCATTCATATTTCAAAAGTTACAACTAATTCCCTTTATATAGGGAGCAATAATAAGAAGTTTATTGTGTAGCAATAACACAATTACCTAATCATAAGTATTCTCTTAGTTATATTCCTAATATCTCTCAATCACCAAATCTAACAAACACATGATCCTTCTGTAGAGATCTGCAAACAGATGATCTCTCCTTAGGAATCCACAAAACAAATAAAGTCGAGAAAATAACCTTCATCAAATCAAAATCCAAACCAAATACTAATTCAATCAAAAAAAAAAAATTCTGGTAGCTAATGGTGATCAAGGTTTCTAGAATACAAGCGGTGGTGGCGGTGGTCTCTACAACTTGAGTAGGTGATGAACAAAGGGAAATCAAGGCGGTATAGGTAGTGACGAGAACATATATATCAAGGATGACTATTGCTACTAATAATGACAATCCTGATCATCAACAAGGATATCGAAAGTAGGACGTTCAAGAATTCGCAGCACTGTTCATGATAAAAAGCCACCGCAGTACTGTTTACAGTGAACAATTACCATAGTGATTGTTCACAGTCAACAGTCATAGGAAAGAAGAGAGGTTGTAAGGCGAAGGGAGGAGTTTGATGGTGAGGGATTTGAAGGCTAGGGTTTGTGAGGCTCTAGGGTTTTGTGGAGCTAGGGTTTCCGTGGCTCTGAAACCATATTAAATAATAAAATATTATAGATTCTCATTCATATTTCAAAAGCTACAACTACACCCCTTTTTATAATGATACAATAACAATAAGTTTATTGTGTAGTTAATATGGGATTAAACAATTACCTAATCACAATTATTCTTTTAATTACATTCCTAATATCTCTCAATCACCAACTCTTATATTTATACTTTTAGTATATTATTTCTAATATGTTATAGATCTCCATAATATATTCCTTAACAGGGATCTATACCACATATATTTTGTTCTATGCATCAGTTAGTTATATTAGTTGATAGGATACTTTTGGGAGTAATAGAAAAATATTTAGGTTAAGGGGCTACTGTCAAATTTTCTGAGGGTCTTTTATCCAAGAAAAAAAACCTAGTTATTTAGGGCTTGTATAGCAGCCATCATCATATGTTTTAATTTGGTCTCTTTTAAACCTTTTCGTGATATTGTATATGGTCACCGTTAAACTACAACTTTTGATCCAGAGATAATTGACTGATTAAGATGATTTTATGGAGTTGACATCCTGCTCTGCAGGTTAATGAGGGATTACTGGAAGAGATATGGAAGATAAATCAAAAGCTGATTGATACGGTGGTTGATGTTAGTGAAAACAATGAGGGCGAAGAAGGAATAGTGGTTAAATTTACTTACACCGCTATTGCCCTCAGTTCAGGCTTGAAAGCACAGTTTGCATGTACACGGACGGTAAGTTTCAAATAGATGAAAAAACTCCTACTAGTTGCATTAAATCGTATAAGTCATTCACATTTGCTTCTTTTCTTTACAGTCCCCCATGATGACTTTGAGATTAGAGGTTCCTGCCAATTATCCAGCATGCTCTCCTGTACTTCTAAACAAGCTTCCAGGTTACCCCAGGTGAGTTATTGTAATATAAGATTGGGTAATTTCACAAAACCCCCTTTGTGGGATTACACACAGAATTCCCCTAAACTTTATAAACCATAGAAACAGATTAAAATTATTTTAAGTTATCATGGACTTCACATTTGACAAGATCTGCTCAAATTTATCCCTATCCACAAAGTTTGATTTCTATCATTACCCTTCTTGGGAAGGGTGGGTAAAGAGCCAAAAAGATCTTTTGGACTTTTTCTTCACCTACTTAAACAGTTCATGAGAATTTCCATTAGTTCAAGAAACGTTTGGAGATCTTCTATGATTTGTAAAGTTCCTGGTACTGTCCATAACCTTCAGAATTTAGGGGTTTTTCTGAAATTACGTACCATTTAAGATCTCATGCTATAGCAATCAAACCTTTTATGTAGCTGACATGTTATTTTCCTTCTCATGACATATTGGGTTCACAGTAAGGACTTAGAAGATCTTTCAATCAAGGCAAAGTCAAAGTTCAGTATCTCTCTCCGGCACTTGGCACAACCAATGTCACTTGGAGAGATGGCAAAAGCTTGGGATATATGTGCTCGGGAAGTCATCTTAGAATATGCTCAAAGAACTGGAGGAGGAAGCTTTAGTTCGACTCATGGTTCATGGGAAAATTGCATTGCTGCTTGATCCCCGTGAAGGAAGGATTTTCCTATTGATGTGAAAGAGGTGGATTTAGATGATCCGGTTCCTTAATTAATCACCATATATATATACACACACACACATACCAAAACCATGTTAATACAAAGTTATTTTCTGAACGGAAGTACATTAATTAGAACAGTAGTATCTCAGGTTGTATGTAAGCAAGCCAGTCTGTTGTTCACTGGTACAGACTTTGCTGCTGTGTGATGTGGATGATGTATTTACTTGTAGTTGCTATTTATCTATCATCAATATCATAATTTATTTCCTTTTTTTATTTCTACGACTGCTACTAAATGGTCTTTTCCTGAGACATCGTCCAATACACAAAGTAGAACGCACAGTATTTTTTTTGGTCAATCTAAGATGTGAATTTTGTAGCCAAAGGTGCATGAACACACTTTTACTCTATATGATGACTGCTAATACCCCAGCTGAGCAACAGGTGAGTCTGGCGAGATGTCCCTTTACGTTTCTTTTTGTTGCATTACCTGATCACTATTTATTTTGTGAACAGGAGATGTTTCCAATTGATTGAACGCTAATGTGTCACCCAGCATATGAAGTTCTTTATGATAATCCAGTAACATTCTCATAGAACTCGATGTGCTGTTGAGTTTCAAGCTGCTTTTCATATAACACTTCCAATTATGCGAGGCATCGTCGATAACTCTCTTTAGTGGTCATCCTTGTTGCAAGTGCGATGCGTAGGGACGAAATCTGAATTTCCAGAGGTAATATGATTTCACAACCGTATACTAATGAATAAGGCGTGATACCAGTTAGAGTGTGAACCATAGTACGGAACACCCATAAGCTTTCACCGAGCTTGTCATTCCAATCACGCTTACTAGCGGATGTCAGCTTGGTTAAGATCTTAATAATCGTCTTGTTGAAAGCTTCGGGTAATCCGTTTGCTAATGGATTGTAGGCGGTGGACGTCAGGTTCTGTATTCCGAACTTGTCACAGAACCGAGTGAATGTATGACTAACAAATTGTGATCCGTTGTCATGGATGATACGTTTTGGGATGTCGTATCTGTAGATGATGTGATGCTTTATGAACTTGACCATATCACTGGTTTTGACTTCTCTTAAGGGAACGACTTCAGCCCATTTAGAGAAATAGTTGGCTATCGCAATGATGAAGCGATGACCTTTGACTGATGGTGGAGATATCGGACCGGCGATATCCATCCCTCATGATTCGAACAGTCACGAAGTCACTGTCGGATGCAGGTCTTCGGGCAGTTGATGCATGTAATTGGCGTGGATTTGACATGTATGACAACACTTAGCATAAGCAACAACGTTGCTGATCATCATGGGCCAATAGTAGCCCATTCTTCGTAAGTGATCCCAGATTTTGGGTTCGGGTTGGTGAGCTTCGTAGGTACCATCATGGACTTTCCGCAGTGCTTCTTGCGCTTTTCTCGTTGACAGACACCGTAGCAGCATGTCGTCATACGATCTACGATACAATGCCTTCGTGGTTGAATCGTAGTAAAATCTTGACACGCGTCTGCGAACATACTCTCGCTCCTTGACGTCTTCAGGGAGTATACCGTATAAGACGTAGTCGATGATTGGGAAACACTAATCTCTCGGTTCAAGTTGACCCGTAGTCTGGTGAGCTATATTCACTTCCAGAGTGTACTCCGATTGAAAGAGTTGTTGGATTGCGATGGTGATACATTGGCTTGTTCCTAGTGGTTGAGCCACGTTAGCTGCTATAGGCAATAAAAATTATCTTTAATCCCTATCAGAGAAGTTCTGAATAAAACTGTTAAAACTTGGTCCGAAATAGCAAAAAAAAACGCTGATATCTCTCAAACCGGAAGGAATTTAATGAAACAGACAGGAGCAAACCGAACCCTATGGGGTATGTTTGGTCGGCTCCGTCTCGTCGAGATAGTCAATTTTCATATATAATTCGTCCAATTCCGACTTACGGTTTGAAAGTTATGACTTGTTATTCGTGGCATGTTTTGGAGCTTGCCCGAAGAGCAAGCTCGCCTGCAAAGGAGCTTAGCTCGCCTGAAGGCTTGAAGCTCATCTGCATAGCCTCGCCTGCAGAGCTCGCCTGACAGCTTGAAGCTCGCCTGCATGATCCAGGCTTGCCTGAAGACTTGAAGCTCGCCTGAAGGCCAAGCTCGCCTAAAGGCTGAAGCTCGCCTGAAAAGGGTGAAGTTCGCCTGTAAGGAAGTCTGTCTGCAAAGCTAAAGCTCGCCTGAAGAGCAAGCTCTCCTGTCAACACTCGGAGCTCGCCTGCAGTGCCAACTCGCCTATTCGCCTACTCGCCTGCAATGCCAGCTCGCCCGTTCACCTAATCGCCTGTAGTGCCAGCTCGCCTATTCGCCTACTCGCCTGCAGTGCCAACTCACCTGTTCGCCTACTCGCCTGCATGCTTGACTCCCCCGCACGAGTCAAACTCGCTTGAGCATTCAGCCTGCGTATGAGCTCGCCTGCAAGCTTGCTGAACTTGCCAGCTCGCCTAGACCGTCCACTTGGGGGTATGAGAACAGTCAGATCAATGGTCACATCCCACAGCTAGGGAAAGCATGACACTCCTCACGTGGGCTAGGCATGGTCAGAACTCTCCTAATAGCCATTAATGGCTATGAAAAATAGGGCGGCTGGCGTGTTATTAGAATAGGGCGGCTTGCAGGACCCCCTAGGTGGTCACATCCTACAGCTAGGAAGGCATGATCTGCTTGTGGTCAAATCCCACAAATCAAGAGATGGCCCATGCCATCCCTTGCCTATTTAAAGCCACCTTCAGACAACGTGAAAAAGGGGGATTGGCTGCTTGCTTGGCTGGCTAATCTTCCAAAGGTTGAACCTAGGCTCATTTGCTAAAGGCTCCCTCATTTGAAGAGACTCGTCTGAACTCTCAGACTTGAAGCTTTCAAGCTTTTTGCAGACTCTTGCATAATAGCTCTTTGCAGACTCGTCTGAACTCTCAGACTTGAGACTCTTAGGCTCTTTGCAAGCTCTTGCATGATAGCTCTCTCCAAGCAGTCAGCCGACAAGCACAAGCCCCCGTTTGGCCTCAGGTATAATCGAACTCGATCGACATGAGTCTCTACTGCGCACTGAAGCTCACCTACAACCTCGATCGAATTGTCCAAGGGAAGCAAACTCGGTGCGAGAACTGAGCGAGGTGTCCTATCGCTACCAAAGTCCTCACGTTAAACAAGGAGGGCATTCCTTCCGCTTCTGTTGTAATTTTAATTCATTAGTTTGTAATAAGCTTTCTTATCAATACAAACAAAATCCCTGTTTCGGGAAATCAAATTTTACACCTACAGCTGCCAACGACGCTAAGGCATCCGCATGCGTATTCTTGGAACGTAATACATGCTCAATGTGAAAGCTTTCAAACGACTTAGGTTAGTTTGATAGCCGCTTTATGACATGAGACCAAGTTATCAGTTCTGACCTCGTATTCTCCTGTCATCTGTTTGACAGTGAGTTGTGAGTCGTCGTAGGCTTCAAGATGTTTTATCTCTATAACTCCTTGATAAAGTTGAGTCCAATGAGCAGCGCATTGTACTCAGCCACGTTATTAGTACATGGCTCTGTTAAAGAGAAGGCTCGAGGTAATATGTGGTTTTGTGGAGAAATCAAGACTACCCCCACTCCCATGATGATAGACCCATTTGTGCCTACGAGAGACGCGCAGTCAAAGAATAACTGTCCAACTTCTTCCTGCGAGGTTACATTGACCTCGTGAGTTTCATCCGGCATATCTTTGAATAAGTCAGTCTTCGACTTTAGCGGGTGACTGACCATGAGATCGCAAATTGCTTGTCCTTTGACGAACTTCTACGACATGAAGTGTATGTCGTATTGGGATAACAAGAGTGCCCATCTTATCAGAAACCAATTTAAGAACCCGAGTTGCATCATAAAGACTCGGATGAGATTCATCCGTGAGATGACATGTATGGTTTGACCGACCAAGTAGTGTCGCATCTTTTGAATCATGAACACCAATGCCAAACATTCCTTTTCGACCTTGGGGTATCGTTGTTCGGCTCCCTACAAGGTTTTACTCGGGTAGTAGATACATTGCTCATGGCCGGCATCGTCACCTTGTGCTAAGAGAGCGCCAAGAGATTGCTCCATTGCTCGCATATAAATTAAGAAGGGTTTCCCCAAGACAGGAGCCGTCAAAACGGGTGGGTTCGAGAGATAAGTTTTGATCTCATCGAACGTTTGTTGGCAAACTTCGTCCCACACAAAGGAGACACATTTCTTCATCAACTTGGAGAAGGGTTAGCACTTACCCGAAAGATTTGTAATGAATCTTCAGATGTAAGCCAAATGTCCTTATAGTTCTCTCAATTCTTTGAAATTCCTGGGTGGTTACAGCTCTTGAATAGCTCACACATTATCGGGGTCTATGTGAATCTCTTTGGTCGTGACGACAAATCCAAAGAATTTGCTATTCGACATCCCTAAAAATTATTTCCTAGGATTCATCTTCAATTGATGAGATTGCATGAGTTCGAACATCACTTTCAGGTCTTAAAGATGATCATTTTTTCTGTGACTCTTCACGACCAAGTCATCTATAGCATTCGACTGTCTTTCGTAGATGATCTCGGAAGATTGTTCTCATGACGACGCGTTGGTAAGTTACGGCTGCATTCTTGAGTCCGAAAGACATAACTGTGTAACAGTATATCTCTACTGGAGTCTTGAACGAGGTATGCTTCTCGTCTTCGGGGTACATCTTGATTTGGTTATACACCAAAAATCCATCCATGAAAAACATCCTTTCAAACCCGCACATATTATCTATGATAATATCTGTGATGAGTAAAGGAAATTCGTCCTTCAGATATGCAGCGTTGAGATCTCTGAAGTCGATGTAGATACAGATCTTTCTGTTCTTCTTCAGGATCAAAATAATATTAGCTACTCAATCGGGGTGTTGTTCCTCTCTGATGAAGCCTAAATCAATCAGTTTCTTCACTTCGGCTTCGATTGCCTCTATGATTTTGGACGAAATCGGCTTTGCTATTGTTTGACAGGTTTAGCGTCCGACTTGATGTTGAGACGATGCATGGCTATTTGAGGATCAAAGCTAGACATGTCCTCGTAATTCTAGGCGAATATGTTAATATATTCTCGGATGAGAGATATAAGATATTTTTTTCCTGAGGAGGTAAGCTGTCATTGATAAATATGGGTTTGGGATTAGCCTCATCCTCCATATTTACCTGGAGTATTTTATCCTCCGTGGGTGGTTTAAGTTGTTCAAACCGA